TTTTTTTTTTTTTTAACATTTTTAGAGTTTTAAGACAGAAAAGTCAGTGGACTCTGTCACAGCTTTACTTGGACTTGGGGAGAAGTCTGACATTTGCTGTTGGGCCCTTTAAGGAGTCTGCCAACACCTGGTCTGGGTCATGATGCTGGGTGACCTTGTGCCTGGCGCACACCCTCTCTGAACTTCCCATGAAAAGCAGCACTTATGGGGGCGTTGCCCTTCCCGGTCCCTAGCCAGCGGGTCTCCTCTGTCCCCCTCTGCCGGGGGGTCCTGGCTCCCCTCCTGCGTCTGCCCCTGGCCCACCCACCCTTGCTGGGCCTCACCGCCTTCCCCTCCCTCCTCCTGCCCCCGCCCCCACAGTCCAAGGAGTCGTCCTCGGTCCTGAGCTGCGACATCTCAAGGAATAACAAGTACATCGTGACGGGCTCAGGAGACAAGAAGGCCACCGTGTACGAGGTGGTCTACTGAGATCCCAGCCTGACCCTCGGGCAGGGGACGCCCAGGCAGAGACCCCTCTGAGTCCAGAGTGCTGCCTGCTCTCCGCCCCTGCTGGGGACAGGCCGGCGGGTGGTGTCCGTGGAGCCAATAAATGTATTTATCGCAACCACCTGTCTGTCTGGGGCTGGCGAGCCGAAGGTGGCTGCGGGACTGGGAGACGCCGCTTCCTGGGTGCCCGACCGCGGGGAACGAGAAGTCGTTCTGCGTGGAATTGGGCGGGGTCTGCCCGCCGTGGAAAAGGCTCCCAAAAGGGGCACAAGAGTCGGGCTGGGCGTGGTGGCTCACACCGGTCATCCCGGCACTTTGGGAGGCTGAGGTGGGAGGACTGCTTTAGGCCAGCAGTTCCAGTCCAGCCTGGGCAACACAGTGAGACCCCATTCTCTCCCAAAAATTAAAAAAAAATAGCCGGGTGTGATCGCGCCTGTCGTCCCAGCTCTTCCGGAGGCGGAGGTGAGAAGGTCACCTGAGCCCAGGAGGCTGAGGCTGCAGCGAGCTGTGATCATGCCCCTGCGCTCCAGCCAGGGCCACAGAGTGAGACCCCAACTCAAAAAATAAAAAAAGGCTCAAGCTGGGCTTGGTAGCTCAGCCTGTAATCCTGCGCCTTTGGGAGGCTGAGGTGAGTGGATGGCCTGAGCCCGCG